GGTGCCAGATATTAGAAACCTAGGAATCAGGCTTTGAGGGAGAAAACCTGGAGCCTATTGGGAAACGGATTTCACTGAGGTAAAACCTGGCAGGTACGGATACTATTATTTGCTAGTCTTTGTAGATACTTTTTCAGGATGGACTGAAGCCTTCCCTACTAAACATGAAATGGCTCAAATGTTGGCAAAGAAACTGTTGGAAGACATGCTTCCCAGGTATGGCTTTCCACAGATGATAGGGTCAGATAATGGACCAACTTTTGTGTCCAAGGTAAGTCAGAGTCTGGCCACAGTTCTGGGGATTGATTGGAAACTACATTGTGCTTATAGAACCCAGAGTTCAGGACAGGTAGAGAGAATGAATAGAACTCTGAAAGAGACCTTAACTAAATTGACCTTAGAGACTGGCAGTGACTGGGTGACTCTCCGTTCACACTCTATTGAGTACATAACTCCCCTTACCAGATGGGAATAACCCCCTTTGAGATCATGTTTGGAGTGCCCCCTCCCATTATTCCTAACATCCAGGCAGAGAAGATTACTTAATTTAAAGATCGGGACCTGTTGGATGACCTCAGGGAAATCCAATGGTCCCATAAACATGTATGGCCTAAACTACGTGCTCTTATTGAGACAGGACCCCTTCGAGAACCTCATCGATATCGACCTGGTGACTGGGTCTACGTTAAGAGGCATTGACAAGGATCCTTAGAGCCACCGTGGAAGGGGCCCTATGTCATCCTACTGACCACCCCCACAGCCCTCAAAGTGGATGGTGTAGCAACGTGGATCCACCACACACGTATGGCCGGCTGACCCATTCGTCGTAGAGGACTGCGCATCCTCAGCTTCAGGATGGAGAGTTTCAAAGGACCCCAACAATCTGCTCAGGCTAAGCTCACCTGATTTTCAAACTGTTGACTGTATCACTCTGTTCCCCATGAGAGCCGCTCCTGCTCCGGGAAGCCCGCATCAACCTATGAATCTGACTTGGGTCCTCCAAGATGTGATAGGAGGCAATATTTTGTTTCAGATCTCCCAAGTAGTGCCCATGGCTACTTGGTTCCCAACTCTGCACTCCTGTTTAAATGCCTTCTTTGATTTCAGTCCTAAGGGAGGCACACATCCTTATGCTCTAACTAACTCTCTGGGCCCATACAGAAAACCAGGCCGGTTCTGTGTTTGCCCAGGGCCTGGAACTCCAAAATACAAGTCCCAGAGAAACAGGTGTGGAGAGGATAGCACTACTTATAGCACTTGCTGGGGCTGTAAACCAACAGAACACATATGGTGGACCCCCCAGGGAGGAGATCTTATTAAGGTAACGTGAGAGCAACCAACACCCACTATCAGTCCCTCCAGAGTCTGGGTGATGAAGAACATGAGATGAGGGAACACTCATGATTGGGTCCACAAGGTATTAGTCAGAGGGGGGAATGAGAGACCTGAGTGACTCCATTTTGGATAAAACCTCCATGGGACTGACCCAGCCCTGAACCCTGTTCCAAGAAAAACCACAAAAAAGTATACTTGGAACAGATAGAGAACAACTCCCCCACCAACGTTCAATTAACCAGGGACAGGAAAGTACTAACAGTCCAGATGTCTCTTCAGATTTCCTGAAGGCAGCAGTTTATGGTTTGGCACTGGGCTGCAACCAATCAGATACTTGCCAGGCTGGAGACCCCCTGCTTGCTGAACTTGCTGAAATAAACCTATAAAAACCTGTCTCCCAAAGCAAGGGGTCTCACATTTGAGATCTGCTGTGTTGGTGACAGAGTGGGCCCAAGCTTAAGCCTGTAACAATAAAAAACCCTTGTGTGTTTGCATCGGTCGGCTCCTTGGTGGTCTTTGGGGTCTCGCAAACTGGGCACAACAATACTGATTTATTAAAACATTTCTTGAGTTCTGCTATGTAGTAGGCTATAAAAAAGTTGAAAGTCTGTCAGAGAGATTTTCACAACATTACAGTAGCAATAAATAACTATAATTAAATGCTGGGCATGGTGGGGCACACCTCTAATCCTGGGAGGCAGAGACAGAGATGGATAATGGTGGTGGCAGGCAAGGGTTAGGGAGTTCAAGTTCATTCAGGTTCGCTAAGTGGAAGGCACAGGAGATACAACACCTTGAGATTCACTGCCCTTAAGGTACATGCCCAAAGAAGAAAGAAATCCCAAGCGACTTTTAATTCAAAGTGAAAGGAGTATGACCTGTCACCCTGGAACATGATTATGTAAGCTGCCAGAGGCTGGGAGGAAATGGTGGTAAGGGAAGCAGAAGAGAAGGCGTAAAGCTCACTGGAAGAGATGAGCTTTAAACGAAAAGTGGGGCAGTTTCCCTCTGGGTGGTTCAAGGACAGCCTGGGCTACATGAGACTCTCTCTCTCTCTCTCTCTCTCTCTCTCTCTCTCTCCCACACACACACACACACACACACACACACACACCCTCCTCAGGTGACCTGTGGAATGCCACAGCTAGCACTCTGTTGAGCAGACATCAAGTTTCTAAGAGGAAGAGGACTACAGGACACAGTCTAGGAATCCAGAAAATTCAACTAGATTCTCTTGTGGAAATAGGTGGGGATGACTGAGTGTACGACTAACTTTTTTCTTTGTGTCATAAAAGCCAACACACACGTGCAGCTTGACTAGAAGCCCGCCCCCCGACCGGTGAAACGGTGAGGCCCAGCTGAGCGTACTCACACACATCATGGGCTGTTCCGTCATCCTTCCCAAATACTTCTTTTTTTGTTCTTCATTTCCAGCAATAATGACGGGCATTTGCTACCAAAGAAAGTTAACATTAAAACAGCAAGATTTTTTTTTTTTTTGTCTTTTTGAGACAGGGTCTCCCTGTAGCCCCAGCTGTCCTGGAACTCACTTTGTAGACCAGGCTGGCCTTGAACTCAGAGATCCCCCTGCCTCTGCCTCCCAAGTGCTGGGATTAAAGGCGTGCACCACCATACCCGGCCACAATATTCTTATTGGATATGTAGATTCAGAGTCACCACAAATCAGAAAGCAAAAGAACTATCTCCACCCCCTCCACATACTCATAAGCCACAAAGTCAAAAAGCTGTCACCTGCTCTGTCCCTGAACCAGAAAGCTAAAACTATAAGGAAACATCTGTGCTAATCCAAGTTTTTCTTTAGTTATAGACAGGACTTGTTGGTAATACACAAAAGCCAACGATGGTAAAATGGTCACAGAATTAAACTTAGGAAGCCACAGGATATACATGAGCAGGCCTTCTAAAAGCTTCTCAGTACATTTTAGCACTGTGTGCATGGCGGCAAGTCAATCGATGGGCCCTGAGAGCTGACTCCGGCCTTGCCCTTGCCCAATAATCTCCATGGAAGTGTAGCCAACGTGTACAGTCTCGCAAGGACGGCTAGGACTTCAGCTTTGGAAAGGACAGAATGACCCAGCTCAAGCTTTGCAATCATAACTCCAGGCCACACTGTTCAATCTCCCTGTACTTTTTTGGGGTTTTTTTTGGTCTTTTTTGAGACAGGGTCTCCTTGTAGCCCCAGCTGTCCTGGAACTCACTATGTAGACCAGGCTGGCCTTGAACTCACAGAGATCCGCCTGCCTCTGCCTCCTGAGTGCCAGGATTAAAGGCGTGAGCCCCCATGCCCGGCATCCTCCTCCTCCCTGTACTTTTAAAATGGTGGTGTGTTAACCTAACTTTTTAGATGTTAGGGTCTTAACAGTTCATTAATTTTTTTTTTGGTCTTTTTGAGTACATTAATTTTTACATTTTAATTTATTTTATGTTCATGTATGGTGTGTATGTGTGTGTGTGCGGACGTCAGAGGACAATTTTGGGGAGTTGGTTCTGTTCTTCCACCATGTGGGTCCCAGGGACTGAACTTGGGTCCTCAGGCTTGGCAGCAGGGGCCTCTACCTGCTGAGCCAATTCACTGGCCCTATGGCAAGCACTTTTCTCAGTAACTTACCCCCAAAGAATTTGCTTCAATAGCAGTCTGAACCCCTGTACATCCAAAAGCCAATTCTTCAGAAATTAAACAGGAATCAAAAGTTCCCAGTCCAAGACCACCTGTGGTATAAAAATGCCAGAGAGCCCACTGTAACACAGTGAGCCTCAATAAACTCAAAACCATTTAGAAACAGGTTTTGTTTAGTGTTGAGACAAGTGCTCTCAAAGGAGCCAAACACCATAGGGTCCTTGGAGGAAAGCAGATGCAGAGACATTTACTGTCAACAAAGGTTAGGAAAGCGATAGAGCCTCAAGTTTTCAGTGTTAGGACTAAAAACGTAAAGGGAGCTTACCATAACTCTCCGGAATGTGTGGATTGATTAAACCAAGTTCCCAGGCTCTTTTAACTAGGGGGAATGGATACTAAAAGAAAAAGGGGGGAAAGACATATAAGATATAACATGCTATAGTCATGTTACAATTATGACATGTTTAATTGCATGTGAGGGATTGCATGCCCTCACATACTTAGCCCCCTCCTTACAGCAGGGACACCTACTTCTCCAGTTCTGTCATACTCAGCGGCGACTGGGATAATCTCCTCTCTGGCGAACTTCCGAGCAGTGGCCTGAAATTCTTTCTGTTGTTCTGTCAACTCTGAGGGAAAAGTTATTTAGAGAACATTAAAAAGAAGACAGCAAGTTAAGAAACAAGCCCCATGAAACTGATTTGTGGAAACTGGTGTTTATAGTGAGGTGAGTTAACCTTTAATTAACTAGGGAGTCAACAGACTATAGTGCCATTTCTAGACTAACCAAAACCTCACATGTGCTGGACAACTTCCATTCTCAACTTGACACACCAGGGTCAAGGGAGCCTCAATTGGGAAATTGCCTCCATTGGACTGTAGCCATGTCTGTGGAATATTTTCTTGATTTTTCAGTGATGTGGGAGGGCCTGGGCTATTGTGGGCAGTGCCACCCCTGGGCAGATGGGCCTGTGTTGCATAAGAAAGCAGGCTGAGCAGGGGCCAGGGGAGCAAGCCAGTAAGCAGCGTTCCTCCATGTCCTGTGCTCCAGCTCCTGCCTTCAGGTTCCTGCCCTGAGTTCCTACCTTGGGCTCCCTGATGAATTGTGACCCAGATGTAAGACGAATAAACCCTTTCCTCTCCAAGTACTGGTCAGAGTATTTTGTCACAGCAATGGAGAAACAAACTAGAATATCACCGTATATAAATAAAGCTGTCAATATAAATGTGGAAGTAATAGGTAAGATTTCCAGTTTCTACAAACTCAGAAACGTCTAAAGCTTAAAGAGGAGTTTTTCTTTTCTATTTGGTGGGGTTAAAAAAAAAATTAAACTTATTTCCAGCTCCTAAGCAGCTTTATGAAGTGCTCATTAACTTGGGTAAAACTAATAAATAACTATCTCAAGAATCATCTTAAGAAAACAAGACATACTCGGCCTCCATACAGTAATAATAAAATTCGTTTCAAAGAATCATATAAGTATATCAATACCAGCTGGAAGCTGGCACAGTTGTTAAGAGGCTAGGCTCACAACCAAAAATAAATAAATAAATAAATAAAATAAATCAAGACCATAATTTAAATTTTACTCCTTTTTAAAAGTTCCACAAATTGATATATATTATCACAAATAAGTATGAACATAATGAGAAAAATTTCCATCCATCAACCAATCAATCCCAGTGCATTACTAATATTCAGGACTAGTCAGTCGGTCCAGTAGCTGCGCCCTAAAACCCAGCACTGGGAAGGGGGAGGCAGGCGGGTGTGTGAGTTTGAGGCCAGCCTCGTCTATGTAGCGAATGGTATTTATTGCATATCTGGGGGCTGGAGAGGCACGGCATCGTGCAGACATGGAGTCTAAAGTACACAGGACTGCTCACGCTCTCGCGGGAAGTCCCGCAGTGAAGCATCAGTAGAATAGATTTCTTCCCAGTGTTTTCTGTACCCATCAAGGTTATGAGTCCGTGGAGGTTGGGAAACACAAACAGCTGCCAAATATTTGTGGGAAAACGTCTTTCATCAGGTCACCGGATACCTGAGCGACTTTATATCTACTTTATCCTCAAGAACTAGATCAGCTGGTCCAATGTGTTATCTGCACCTTGACCTGAGCTTCACAAACTCCCTCCCAAATACTTCCATGTGCCTCACCCTCCATCAGTGTCACTCAGCAGACAGTGACAGATTTCTCCTGGTTCTGCTTACTACTAAGTAGGAATATGGGCATTAAAAGATGAGTGACAGGGCCTCCAAAGGCCCACTGATGCCACCCCACCCTCACACCACTTGAAAAGCTTTCATTTAATCTTCCTAAAAAACTATCAGGAAGGAAAAAACACTAACCCTCAAAAGCCTTGAGATTGCCGAGGGCACTGTGAGTTCATCATCACCTTTAGGAGGTGAAGCACGCCCGAGAGGCTTACGTCACATTTTTAACCTCAAGGGTTTCATTGTACAAGGAGAAAAGAAAACCCTTATTCCTGCCCCTCCAGCACCATGTTGCTCCCTGGTCCCAGGTCCGAGAACTTTGTGCCAAAATAGGTTTTAACTTATTTCAACATCCAGCACTGTGTATTTAAGAAGTATTTGTTGGGACTGGAGAGCTGGCTCAGAGGTTAAGAGCACTTGCTGCTCTCACACAGGACCAGGGTCCGATTCCCAGCACCCACATGGCAGCTCACAACTGTCTACTCTAGTTCTAGGGGCTCTGATGCCCTCTTCCGGCCTCCTTGGATACTGCTCCATGGTGCACTTATATGGCCCTCTACGCACTGTGGAGCACAGGCTGGCCTATAACTCCCAACCCTCCTACCTCTATCACTTTTTTGAACAAAACGAGTCAGCTGTGTTTACACAACTGAAGTGGAGGGTTTCCAGGACAAGCAGGGTTACTAAGTACAGCTTAGAAACAATTTCACCTAGAAGCTCTGAGGATGATATTAGGACAGCAATAGGAATAGAGCCATGCTATTTTTTAGAGTTGCCTGTCAACTTTGACACCATGCCCCTGTAATTCCCCAGTGGGCATCTGAGCATGCAGGCAAAACATTCATACACATAAAATAAAAATAAATTTTTTTCATAAAAAAGAGAAGTATTGGCAGGGAGATCTCTGTGAGTTCAAGGCCAGCCTGCTCTACAAAGTAAGTTCCAGGACAGCTGGGGCTACAGGGAGATCCTGTCTCAAAAAGACCAAAAAAAAAAAAAAAAAAAAAAAAAAAAGAGTGAGGTATTTGTTGTGTTCAAATTCGTAAGTTGAAGACTGGCCAACTTATTTAGGGCTATACAATTAGGAAAAGGGGAAAGAAGGCTCATGCACATATGGTCTAAGCACAGACTGAATGAATGTACAGGGCGCGTGCTGAAGAAGAAATGAACTCGGGATCAACGGACATGAGGAACTGTAGACTGTGTGTTTGTGGTGATGTTCTACCCACTGACATCAAGTTCACAAATAGTCTCCACACATACATTTTCTGTGCTTGGTTTGGTTTGGTTCTTTGAGACATTGTCTCCCTGTAGCCCCAGCTGGCTTGGAACTTGCTATGTTGATGAGGCTGGCCTCGATCTCACAGAGATCTGCCTCCCTCTGCCTCCTGGGTGTTGGAACTAAAGGCGTGCATCACCATGCCCAGCTCCAGACATACATTTTCAAGTCAAAGGACACAACACAATGTATACCAAAACTAAACCCCAATCTTGGTTCATGCTTGAGAGAAGCTTTCGTATGCTGAGATCTCCACTCAAAATGACAAATGCTTCTCAGGACCTGGAAAACACAATGTCATTAAAAACAAATTGATAAATTAAATCTCAATCAAATAAAAAATACTGACCATCCAAAGTGAGTACCGAATCCTGTACGACAATACTCAAGAACCGTATTTTTAAGGTCAATATGCAGTATATTCAATTGTAAGTTAAATAAGCCAGTCACTCACTATACGAACACCTATCCAGGGAGGAAATGTTACTTTTTTAGATTTATTTTTATTTATATGTATGTGTGGGTCTCCATGTATGCCTATGTGTGGTTAGGTGCACTCACAGGCCAGAAGAAGGCCTTGGAACCCCTGGAGCTGGAGTTATAGGTGGTTGTGAGCTGCCTGATGTGAGTGCTAGGTTCCCTATAGGAGCAGCGAGTGCTTTTACCCACTGAGCCATTTCTCCAGCCCCTCAGAGGAAATGTTCACAACAACAAAGGAAAAAAAACAAATCAGCTGGGTTTTGTTTGTTTTAGGCTAAGTTCTTGCTAGGTAGTTTGGGATGGCCCCAAACTCACTGTGGAGCAGCCTGGCCTATAACTCCCAAGCCTCCTACCTCTATCACTTCTTTGAACAAAACGAGTCAGCTGCATTTACACAACTGAAGTGGAGGGTTTCCAGGACATGCAGGGTTATTAAGTACCGCTTAGAAACGCTATTCTGAAATTTCACCCAGAAGCTCCAGGGAGGATGGTGTTAGGACAGCTGCCTGTCAACTTTGACACCATGCCCCTGTGATCCCCCTGTGGGTGTCTGAGGCGTCCAATTTCTATACAACTCACTATCCAACAGAACAAAGAAGCAAAAGTCATGTTTGACAAGCTCTGCCACTGTCTCTAGGCCTTTTTACATGCTCTAAGCCAGGGGCCAGTTTTGTTAATAAAACTTTATTAGAACACAGCCACACTATATTGCCTATTGCTACATTCACAGTAATGCTATTTGGTTGCCACTGAGACCATGGGGTCCATAAAGCAAAGCCAAACTCTTAAATCAGTCTCTCTCTCTCTCTCTCTCTCTCTCTCTCTCTATATATATATATATATGTATATATGGTAACCTAATTCTATCAGCACGGCATTTGTCTTAACAGGTGAAGTATAATCATTTTTTTTTCAGAAGCATATATAGTTAAACATGATGGTACATGCCTTTAATTCCAGTACACAGGAGGCAGAGGCAGGTGAATTTCTGTGAGAATGAGGCCAGCCTGGTCTACATAGTGAGTTCTAGGCCAGCCAGGGCTATGGGGAGACCTGTCTCAAAAAACAATACAAACAAAAAAATCAAAGCAAACAAAAACCAACAAAAGCACATATAAAACATACAATCAGATATATAAATACTATTTTGCAACTCGTTTTTATCTTTTGATGTTTATTTTTATTTGTTTTTTTTCTTTTTCTTTTCTTTCTTTTTTTTTTTTTTTTTTTTTTTTTTTATTTTTATGGGGCTATTGGCTACTGTAACATTACCCCCTCTGAAGAGATAATGCTAAAATCTTTTAAGGATTAGATAAAAGCTCCCAAAATTGCATACTTTTATTTTGTTTGACCATATTCATTTCACTGAGTGTTGAATTTTATTTGTTTGAGATAGGGTCTCCCTGTAGTCCCAGCTAGCCTGGGACTTGAATATAGACCAAGCTGGCCTCATTCTCACAGAGACCCACCCACCTCTATCTCCTAAGGGTTGGTATTAAAGACATTGGGCCACCACTGACTTATTTTGAGACTCTTGCTATGTAACCAAGACTGCCTTGAATTCTTTGGTTCTGTTTTCTATTATTTTTAGAGACATGGTCTCACTATGTAGCCCTGGCTAGCCTGGAACTCACTACATAGACCAGGCTGGCTTGGAAACCCCAAGGATCCTCCTGCCCCTGCTGCCTGGGTACTAGGATTAGAAAGAAGAACCTATGATACCTGGTTACAACCTATTTTTATACCAGCAACAAGTACAAATTCACAGAAGTGACCTTTAGCATTTAGCAAAGTTAATAAAATGAGAGACATGTTCTGGAGTGAAGGTTAAAGAGCAAGAAACCACACAATTTACATATTAAGGAATTTGAAGAAAATAGTCCTAGGTAATTTTAACAAACTAGGCCCTAAGGGAAGAGCCTAAGTGCCTAGAACCCAATTTATGTTCTTCAAAATATGTAAAAAGAAACTATCCACTTGGCAAACAACAATTTCAACTGAGATAGAAAATCACATTTAAATTGACAATATAATTGGATAGTCAAATATATCATCTAAACCACCCTTTCAAAATAAGATACCTTAAAGTATAATTTTTAAGAAAAATTACACTTTTTATTATACCGTATGAAAATAATTACTCTGTATGAAAACTTAGATTTTCTTTGCACTTTCACCATTTTGGAAATAAAACACGGTTTTTCTGAACTCCACTGTCCAGTGTTTGTAAATTAAATTTATTTCTCTATATGGTCACTTAATATGTATGAACTCAGTGAACCAAAGGTCAAATCTAAGATTAAGGAAGTATTTTCATTTTTATACTTTTATATAGGGAGAAACTTAGGCTCAGAATAGTTAATCTACTCTTAGGTAATAGAATCAGGATCACAATCCTCACGTTTACTCCCAACTCTTGCTATGCTACCCTTTCACTTAGTCTCCTGCTTGGTCTCTAGGTTCTAGGAGAAAAGAGATCCCTCCAAAAATCAGACAAAGTAAGCTGGCTGTATTATAGACGTGTTTAAGTAGTACTGTGTCAAAAATCATTCCTCACAAGACAGTTAAAATGATGACTTTAAATAGGGAATTATCTAATAGATTTAAAATTCACAAAAAGTAAAATACACCAATTCATTCTATTAAGAGTGTTATTTAGTATGTAAATTGTATTAAAAAAAGGCATAGTGGGCGTGATGGCCCGCGCCTTTAATCCCAGCACTGGGAGGCAGAGGCAGGTGGATCTATGTGCCTTCACAGCCAGTGTGGTCTACATAGTGAGTTCCAGGACAGCTGGGGCTACAGAGGGACACTGTCTCAAAAAAAAAAAGGCATACATAAAATAGAAAAATAATTTACAAAAAAGTCAGCTTAGATGATTTTTTTCAGGAAAACATGTTATATAAAACTAAAGGCAAAAGTTGCTATAGCCAGGGAAAAGTGCCCATTACCCTGCTAATTACATATTCTTAGTTTTTTATTAATTAAAGGGAGCTTAACATGCGCACCACACACATACACACACACACACACACACACACACACAATTAAAGGGAACTTGTTAAAAATAGAAGCAGAAACAGCACAAGTTTAAGAAGTTAGCATTGTATGCTTGAGTTTGAGTGGCAGACATATCTATCACTGTCACCCCTGGAGATGGTCCAAAGTTCTCATAATGTATATTCACATGAGAACAGAGCTAAATAATGGTGTGGATAACTGGGGATTATTAAAATAAAATAGCTGGGTTTGGAAGGCTGAGGCAGAAGACAGCTCAGAGTTCAAGGACAGCCTTGACACCATATAAACAAATAATAATAATATTTTGGAAAGTCTAATGTCATTAAAAAGTTTTTATTACTTCTGGCTTTCTGCCAAGAACATGCAATTCACATATCTGGAAAGGGCTGCAGTGTTGGTCTTCAATTCTGCAACAGCATCAAATAATGCATTTCTTAGAAAAAAAAATTTTTTGAGACAGGATCTCCCTGTGTAGTCCTGACTGGCCTGGAATTCCCTATGCAGACTAGGCTGGCCTTGAACTCTGAGATTCCCCCTGCCTCTGCCTCCTGAGAACTGGGATTAAAGGTATCAGGATGAAGTTTCCGTCTACAGAGCACTTTTCTTAAAGCCAGTTCTTAAGAGTGAGCCTAGGGCCTCCTGCCGGATAGTCAGGGGCACTCCTGCTGAGCCAAGTGTTGTGACAGTGTGAAAAAAACAGATAAAATAAAAAAGTTCTTAGATTAGTTATCCGATTAGATTTCCTTCATCTCTTCTCGGAGGGATTGTGAACTCTTCTGGTCAGAATAAAAATAATGTAAAATGTTTCCAATTTCTGATTTCAGAGCCCATAAATTTGTATCGTAATGACGAAATAAAGGGGGCAAAGGGACACCATGCTAGACTCAAGGGTCAGGGAAAGCCAGGGGTAGGCTTTCCTCGCTGCTTTGAACTCAGCTGGGAAGGGTGTTATAAAACCAAGGGCGCACTGAACGCCGGGCCCCACTTCCGTTTCGTTTATGTGCCTCTGTGGCTCCCAGCACCTGTCGGTACCCGCAGCTGCAGAGTATCTGGTCTGAGTCCTTCCTGGGGTGGGCCGTGGGCACTTTCTGGGGAACTGAGCTCCCGGGGGCAGAGGAACTCAGTGTCCCAGTACCCGCAGCTGCAGAGTATCTGGTCTGAGTCCTTCCTGGGGTGGGCCGTGGGCACTGACTGGGGAACTGAGCTCCCGGGGGCAGAGGAACTCAGTGTCCCAGTACCCGCAGCTGCAGAGTATCTGG